TGAAGAAGTGGAAGCAAGCAAAGGAAGCATTGTTTACACATAAATAATGTGATCATCAGACACTAAACGGCATTTAAATGTTAAACCCATGAAGAGGTGAAGACTGTGAAGCTTTGGGGGTGTTGATGGACTCGATCTTCTCCGTCTCCGTGTCCTGACCATCAATCAATAATTTTTCAGCTTTTTATTTTTATTTTTTTATGAAACTTACACAATCCTGGGACACCCATTGCTTCCAATCTTCTCTCCCCAAATATCTTGGACCACTAGTGAGGTTTTGGCCTGCAGTTGTCTTCAGCTTCTCAAGGAGTCTCTAAATTATATGTGGATGCACACCTTTCCACTGAATGCCACCATGATCGAGAACCCTGAAAGTGAGAATAAGACAAAACATTCACATCATAAAGACTTATCTTTTATCAGAGATCAAATGAAGGGTCGAACCGTCAGCTGATGTCTTTTTATTCCATCAAAAACAACGCAGACAACACCAGTTACACTTAGTCCTTAGTTATTAACACTTAAGTCTAGGAATAAGAGTAAAATTGTTGTTCTGTCAATTTTGACACATTCAAAACGAAAATAAATTACTTTTTCATAAAGGTACCTAAGTGTTCAGACTAGGTCTCAGCTTGGAAAATTAAGTCAGAGAGCTGGAGAGATCTCCTAACCTAGTTACCTAGGAGTAACAAGATGGCAGCACACACAAATACAAACTTGATCGTCAATTATTTTCGCACTCTACAAATCAATGTCCTAACTGCAGAAATGGAAGTAGTGATTACATTTTTTGGCAACCGGAATTTTTTATTTTATTTTTCATTGGTCCTCTTGTTTGTGTATGTGTTCATGATTTCTTTGTTTGACAGCTTGTCAATATTTCATATTTCATTTCGTGTGGCAGACAGTCAAAATCAATTGCTTTAAACCCACCATCAACACAATCCTTTTCGGTCACCATTCTTTAATATAATGCACTTTAACAGAAAGTTCACGCTTGATTTCATTTATTTCCCTTATATGCTGTGGAGAAACTGAGATGAATCAGATGCTATATCATAATAACATTGTATTTAATCAATTACACAGTAGATCTCTCTGCAACCACAAACTTAATATTTAACTTTACATTATAAATGCTTTAAATTAAACTAATATGGAGATCAAGATACTTGATTTTATTCATGATTGAGAATACTGCTCTGTAGTCGTATTATAATTGTGATCGCTTCACACTTGCTTACATTTAGAGCCAGACGCTTTAGTAAAAATCTATTATCCTTTGAAACAATCCTTTATCTGATCATTTAAATGTGGTTGCTGTGTGTGAATTTCTATTATCTTTAGCTTGTGAACGGGACTCTTATTTTGGTGTAGCAATGTGATGTCATAAGCCTGCGCCACGCTTTTGCATCTGTGATTCTGCTGAAGAAAGGTTTGTTTTTTAAACTTTTAAAGAGTTTAAATCAATACAACCCATTATAGAGAACTTGGAAATGAATTAAATGTTTTAATGTAATGTTATAATCTAATTGCATTAATGAACAGTTGTTTATGAGTAAAGCATGAGTAACAAAAGATGAATCTCATTTCATCATAAACAAGTAATGATAGAGAACAGAACTTTTTAAAAACCAGTTGAGATTCAATTGAATCAAATGCTTGTGAAACTGATTCACTGTTTGTAAGCGCTGGAACCACCGCTCGTTGGCGACACCTGAGGCCCGTTGCACAAAGCTGGGTTGGGTTTTTAGCCAGGTAAGTTTGCGCTTAGTTTGAGCAGAGTTGGGTTGGTTTACTCACCAGTCAACTGTGAGTAAAGTGACATGAATCTGACTCATCACAGTTAACCCTTTAGAGTTTGTAGCCATGGCGTGAGCATTTTTGGACAACCCCATGGAGATCGGAGTGCAGATAATAAGAAGGGCACTTCGTTGGGAAAGAGCTTTTAGGGCCCAGCATAATACCCTACACATGTTGCAATTTCTGCATTCATAAGCGAGCGTGAGGCCCACTCCACTTTCATCATTGATAAAGGCCTTTTGCCATCTGACGAA